CTGACTGTAAACATTGGGTTAATATCTGTATTTAGACTCACCAAGGTGCTAGTATCTACAAGAAGAAACCTTTCCCGCTTTATGACCTCATGCACAAATTATGTGGTAACACCAGTGCTTCAGCCGAGGGAATTGTTGGAACTCAGACCATTCCAACTAACCACAACCAACTGGCTAGTAGTGAAGATGATCAACCTTGCGACCGACCAGACCAAGTAGCTGCTGAGAAGAATGTATCAGACCAAAAGAATGTATCGGACCACGAATCTGACGATGACTCTGATACTTATAAGCTTCCTCCACCATTGAAGCGTCAAAGTGGATCTGCGGGTAAGTTGTAGTTGTTACTTTAAACTTTCTCTTTATATATCAATTGTAATGCTAATCACCTTTGGCCAACGCAGTTTTAGCTTGAGAAGAGTCTGTTTTACCTCATGAACTAGAAGATCTTGACTTGATGCATCCGGATGATCGAGACAACACCAAGAAGGCAAACACTGAATCTGACAATGATGACGACATAACTCACTCTGCTACTACTACTCCCAAAACTCGAGCTTTCAGCAAGAAGCCCACTCCTCGTATCAGACCAAACACTAAGGCCAAACTCGCCGCTTCTTTAGACAATTCAGCTGCACTTCTCAAGGACCAAGCTACTCAAGCCATTGATCGTGAGAAATTGAAAGCAAAGACTATCGCTGCTCATGATGCTGCAAAGGAGTCAATGTTGATTACTGCGGCTTGATTGGATCGAGAATCATTGGCCTTCAGACACACTTCCATCCCTTCTCAAGAGAAAGCTATGGCGATCTTCAATAAAGACCGGAAGACACACTTTGGCAAGGATCCGAAAGCTGCTTCTGAAGCCATCCTCCTTTTCGAGCATGAGGACAAATGTCGAACCTTTATCAACTCTGATCCTGAGTTGAGATGGAGTTGGCTCGCTTTGAGCCTCGGGTATACGGTTGTTGATGAGAAGGAAAAAGAAAATGAATGATAGTTTTCTTATCAATGATAGTTTTTCTTACCATCAAATCCAAATTTTGTTTTACATTACTTTATCAATTTACAATCTTATGGTTTTGTTTTACATCACTATAATATGCTATGCTATGCTTTTATTTTTTAGATACTTTGTCCGAATGAAATACATGTGTGAATGAAATACACTTTTGTAGCCTGCTTACTGGTTTAAACATGAAATGAAAAAGACTTGTTGTTTTAAATATTGTTTTAATTCTAAGATATCAAGCTCAATAGCGAGGGTGAGCAACGTAAGCATCCCACATAGACATCGCCAACCAATCTCTATTGTCGGCAGCTTGTGTACAAAGACCAGCGGATGTGACTCTATAAGCATCAATTTCGTTTGGCCAATTCTGAGGCTCTTCTTCATCGTCTTCCATGAAGAAATCAGCACCTCCCTTCTTGACGATAATGTTATGTAATACACACATTGCAATTACCAACATAGACTGTAGTTCAATCAAGAATGAGTGCATGTTGGTAATCATCTCAAATCTTATTTTAATCACCCCAAAAATCCGTTCAATTGCGTTTCTCAAACTTGAATGCCTCAGATTAAAGAGCTCATTGTAGTCTCTGGGCCCAGCGTTTCCTTGGGCCCACTCTTGTAGGTGATATCAAACACCACGGTAAGGGGCTAAAAAGCCCGGCTCGTTTGCATACCCAGCATCAACAAGGTAGAAATGGCCTAATAAAAAAAGAAAGATAGTTAATATTAAGATATAAACTAAGGAAAAGGAGAATATGTGACATACCTGCTGGGACCACAGATCTACCCTGCTGCCGAGCCACCTCCAAGACTCTGGCATCGGCAGCAGATCCCTTGAAACCAGCCAGAACAAAGGTGAACATCAAATTGAATGAACACCCAGCCAGTACGTTCTGGCTAAGAAAGCCTTTCCTATTTCGGTAAAGTTCACATTTGTTGTTCCGAACAACGGCCCCGATGTAGGGTGCCATCAATGGCACCTATACAGTGCTCAAACCAAGGATAGCGCTTGGAATTTGTGGCAATTTCGGGTGGACAGGGAGTTTGGGGACCAGGCTGACGATTAAATCTATCCGAGATGCGCTCTAATGCATGTGCCACAATATGAAAATAGCGGCTCGTAGTTTCTTTTGAATGTTGAAACCTTTCAGAGGTCATTTGATTTGAAGCATGATTCCCAATTGTATATAAGAACATCATCACCTGTTCTCGTGTATCAATGTGAATTGAAGAGGTGAGATGGTCATCTAGGAAATCCATGAGAGCAATGAAAGTGGTCTTGTCCATGCGACAGACATCGTGGAATTGAACCGGACTACCCTCAAAGACCTCTGAGGCGAGAAGTACGGCAGGGAACGTTTGGGGCTAGCTCCGCGGCGAGGAGTTCTCGAGCTAGAATGATGTTATTCTCAATATCTTCTCGGAGGGCTTCTTCATTACCGTCAGATCCAAATAAATTGTCAGTTTGGATTGCGAGGATAGAATCCAAACTATCAATGGAGGCAGTTGGAGATAAATAATCGGACATGGTGGTTTTTACCGTCCGATGATTCAATTGCAATTTGTTTGCTTTTGAAGTACCAAACAATTTTTGCTGAAAACCTCTCATTACCACTCATCTCGCGATTAATTGTGAGTTGAGACTTTTACGGTAGTTTCAGGTCCATTAATACAGTACACTTTTACTGTAGTATACAAAAATCTCTGGCAACCAAACGGGCCCTAAGCCTTTATGTTTATTAGAAAGACTCAAGTGAAAAGTTAATTTCTAAAACAGATGGTGAGAATAACAACAAATTGTTTTGATAAAAAAAGAGAAACTAAACACATCTTCAAGCTACTATATATATATATGACAAGTAATAACATAATCAGATTATATAACCATTATGACATCACACAAATCAATCCTGCCATGATCATCTTACGTAACCATTTCCTGGTTAAATAAAAAGTGCATTACTACAGTACGATCATTACAAAAGTAATCTTCCATATACCCCCATATTCTAAGAATTTGCCATATACCCCACACTAGACCTTAGGCGCGCCCGCCCGCCCTAATTAATATCTAGCAATAGATTAGGCCAAAGTACTGGGCCAAATCATATATTATCAGAAACAGCAAAGAATTAAGAGTCCAACAGAGATATGTGGATTTCAGAAAACTACATGCCAATAGTTAGATAATTCAGGGGAAAGGCTTGAATATAAATAGAGGAGGAATTAGGATGTCATAGATTTTCAACAGCAATGGACCTCATCAGAAAATCCCGATCTCAAGATATAACTGATGACTGAGTTTGGTTGTTGTGTATAAAATACATGTAGATTTGGAGGGACCTTTTGAGACCCAAACATTGTTTGAATGTGCTCATTTCAAGACATCTTACACCTAATCTTTTAAAAAAAGTACAGGTGAGGCTCTCTTCTTTACTTGATTGTTAAACATATCTTCATGATGGCAAGCTGAAATCATGTGTTAAATCAAAGTCTCATTTTTGCAAATCTGAACTGAACTTCAACAGGATGCTCACACGTTATTTTGATCAGTTCTTACAAAATTTTGAAGTTCATACTTGAACCATCCTGAAAATCCTCTGACAGTTATCTAAGTCTCCAAAAAAACACAAATGCAAGTTAGTTTTTCCTTTTTTTGAGGGGGGGAAATGAGTTATATGTATATAGAATTTTCACTCTTGATTCAAACCCAACCAAGTTTAGAACTGGGGTATGACTTCCATATCAAGCCCTGACAATTTTATTTTCTTTAGTCGGAAGAGCTTATCTAAATACAGTCTGCTGAGATTTTTGCAGGCGATGCCCACTCAACTTCATTGCTCAATAATTTGAGGAAAAGAGACCACAGGGGGTATTCCTCAACAGTTGGTCTAATGAGAATATAGTTACATCACATCAGCAGTAAAGAGTTCCAAAATGCCAACAATGTGTTGGAGATCCCTCTGGTATAATTAATTTGCATCATTTTAGCTCTGTTTAAGACTTTCCGAATGTCTATTAAGTAAAAATTCATCTCTCCTCATCCTCATTACCACTCTTCTCACTGAAAACCCGCGCAAGACAACCTTAGCCTGCCACTGTGGAATTCAACTTATCTGTTGGCACATCCTTGTTTTTAGGGAGAAGGGAGGAGTTTAAAGATGTACGTTAGGGATCTACCCTTTGATAAGGTTACAGGTTACACTACACCAAAGTGCATCTTTTCCGTACGGTTTAGAAAATTCTGACTGACATAGAAAACTATGTGTCATCCACATATTCTGTTTTCCTGCTGCTCAGAAGTAATGATAATTCATCACGTATCAAGAGCACCTATCTCATGGTTATAACCTTTTTTGAATGCAGTTTGTGTGTAATCCTGTCATTTGTTGATTTAACTTCTGAGTTATTTAAATTGTAGCCTCAGTATTCCTTTCTAGAATATTGATCACTTGACTTCGTGTATCAATTTTGATTCAATCATCACGATTCTTTGCTTCGTTTATGTTCTTTTCTTCTTTATTGCGCACTATCATCTAATACATGATCAACATTCTTTCCAATATTCTGCATTCATCCTTGTGGCTACGCTTCCCACAAGAAGCTTTACAAGATAAATAATCTACGTGTTCAAATCTTTTCTCCCTATCTGTAATTCAGAAGTAAAACATGGCTTATGCATCATGCCTCAAGAGATCGAAAATCGAATTGGTTTACGTATATGTGTATTGACTATGCTGCTTACAAGCAAATGAATGTCCGATTAATTAGCAAGCTTTGGTATATTGACATATTGTTCATCTACTTATAATGTAGAATTTAAGTCAGCATTGAAACCGCGAGGCAGGCTCATGAAGTGGAATGTCTTTATGCCGCTCGGCTTGATCATCACACTCACACTTTCGATCATCCTCCTTATGGGACTGTCTATATAAAGCCACCTTCAAGCAACTCCTTGTGTCACCGCGCTGCGCATTTATCTAATATGTCTACTGTTCTGGACCCCAGCAACCCAAGTGTTAGCAAGCACGACATGGCTCAGTGGCTTTACAAACATGACAAGACAACTACCCTTCACTCCAAACTAAATCGAGCACAGCTTGCCTCCAGAGTGCGGAAGGCGCAGCCGCATCGTTCGTTTCATCTGTCTCTCAAAAACAGCATCTGATTCTATTAGATTTCAACATTTGGATTGTTTTCTTAACCAGTCTTTCCAAACCCTGATAGCGACGATCCAGCCCTGGACTCCAATGATTTGCAGGGCCAACAACAGGAATCAAGTGATCAATCAAATGTGCTTGGGAGCATGGAGGTTCATAGTGCGTCATCATTTCTCTTTACATCTATGACACCCTGATGATAGGAGAAAAAGCTTAAAACAAGGTTTAATTCGATATTGCCAGACCGTATGCCTTCACCTTCCACGAGTGGTCGGAGTCCACAAGACTTGACATCAATCGCTACAAGTACTCCTCCTCCTCGTAAAGGAAAACGTGTTTCTTTCGATCCGCCATTCTCCACATGTTACCTCGTACCTGAAGTCAAATCGAATCCTGCGGATACGGGGCCTGCTCGAAAAGCAAAGCGAGTGTCTTCTGATGATCACGGTGGGTCTACCATGATGACAAAAAAAAGAAGAAGGTGAGTTCCTACGAGCTTGTACATGAGTACTTTCATCATCATCTTGAATCACTTTCACAACCTTAATCATACCACGTAATGTGAATCCTGAAACCCTGTTCTATCTACAGTCAATCCAACAGCAAATTCCAGACCGCCCGACCAGTACCAGTCTACCAAAGTCTACAGGTAGAGGCGTTTCAAAATCAACTCCAGAAGTGGAATCTACCTCTCTGCTAGAGATAAAGGATCGGCGCGAACATATCAAAGAGTTAAGTGCGCTTCAGGAGCCTCTGGTTCTTCCTGCTTTGAACACGTTAAGTAATTGTGTAGAAGATAAGACCATGGATTTGGCAGAACAATTAATTCCTCTTGGGTCAGAAGAGGGCAAACCAGCTACTCCAAGTACTCATCACTATGAAATGGACTTGATGGAATTTCCCGAGTTAGATATATTCAAAAGTGAAAATCCCGGTACGTCTAACAATATTTCTTCTTGTTTGCTCCCATGGGCGATGCCTAATCATGCTGGATCATCCACACTTTTAGTATTGGGAAGGAACATCAATCCAATTCCTTTCAAACCCTCAATTAAGCCGACTTCAGAGCTACCAGTACTTTTGGGAACAGACTACTTTCAAATCCAAAGAAGTAAAGAAGAACAAGGTAATTCTCATACTAATTCCAACTTATCCTAAGCGTAATCAATACGAGTGGAAAATAACCAAACTTTACGATTTTTTTGATATACAACAGTTGCTGCCCTTGAAGAGCGTGTGGCATATTTCGAAGACATGAAACAAATCATGGTCACTACTCAGACACGTTTAGACTTTTTAGAGACGCACGTTGAAAGACTAGAGACCGAATTGCAGTCAGCTTGTGATGACATCGATGAGCACGGCAAAGTCATTACTGGCCTGCTTTTGGTTGAAGATGGGGAAGATTCTGGCAGTTCTGTCTCAGATTAGAAAATGGTGACAATTGTGTAGCTGTAGTTTGAAGGTTTATGAGCACGTGATATGGAAACAACATGCACTACAACTACATTTTATCCTTTTGTTTGAAGCCAACCTCTATGTATAATCAATCTATGATTCCCTTAGAAGTAATAGCACACCCAATACAACAATGTCATTCTTAAGTTCCATCATGCTGATGACATATCTGTGATAGCAACAGTGATGCTGTGTTTTGGCCGTATCACTCTTCTCTTTCCTAACTCTTTCCTTTTGTTTGTCCATTTGAACAACTGTCACTCGATTCCATATATAGTTGCCCCATATACTTGCCTTAAAGACGATTATTATCTAGCTATTGCATCCCGCGAGTTGCTACAAAAGACCCTTTTACAAGTCTGAGTATAATCCCTCTTGATTGTATGTGTCATCAAATGTTTATAGGCACACATGTGTTGTTCCAGGTGCAACCAGCATCATTGATCTGTTCTGAACTATATTCTGCCTTGTTCTTATAACAGTTACCACGTATTTCTCATCGTGTATCGAAGTCAGCAATCAAAATTTTGTCAGCCGGCAACAGATCATCTTCCCCTCAGAGAAGAAGAAATTCCAGAAAGGGACTTGATGATTCGCCAGACTGAAAGGCACTCATCGTTCTACGCTGATGCCAACACTCGAGGTTGTCACGTTTTGACAACAGCTATTGCTTGTTTACATGTAGCTAAATGTAACAAGTGAAAGGTATAAGATCACCACGATTGCCCCCGTTTCTGAGTTGAATTGATAGCCCTCTGCATCTTGTAACACAAAGATCCTGGTTTTTGAAGGTCAGTTGTCTTCTCTTTTCATTTGCCCAAGTCTCATCATCCTCGTATGCTCTTCAAAGTTTTGGACACCTATATAATTCTCTTCTTTCGTACGTTGATGGTCTGATTTCTGCTTCTCAATCCAGGTCGAACATGGGCAAGGGACGGAAGAAAAGCACCGGAGGCACAAGCTCAGGACCCACAAGCCCTTCAAACGAACAACTTGAGATTAATACCAAAGGTGAGCTCAGAGGTTTGTATTGATCTGTTTTGGATGAATCTCGCCATAAAACCCGTTTCACTAATTTCTACTTGCCTCAGGCAAAGTTCCTAACTCTGCTCAACCAAATACGCAGTTCGTGAAGGATCAGACTTTTCCAAAAGTCCCTCCAAGCGCAGCAGGGGGATTTGTGCGAGATGACGTAGCAGCAAAGGTCCACTCGTTACCAGATGACTTGCATGTTTTCCTCGACCACGACTTCGATGAAAAGTGTAACGAGATCAAGAATGTCCTATATTATCTTATCTTGTATCATTTCGACCCCAAGACGAAATCTCGCCCGAACCACAACAAAACCGCCTTGAAAAAGGCGTTTCAAGATGATGTGAAGCCTTTAATCATTCCGTACATCAAACCACCCGTTATAAAACCGGAGCCAATGGACACGGATGCACCCGAAACTGTGGACTTTGATCCTCTCAGCCGAAAGACCACTCGACAGATGTTAGTTGGTGCTATTTTGAAGAAAGTGGGCAAATTCTTGATACCCGACATCGCCAGAATCGATCAACTCCTTTGGCTCTACAAAGCCAAGGTTGATAAGGATCTTTGCTTGCCAAAAAAACCGGAGTTCAGTCTGCGACCTCGCTACCTGAAAGAAGATCGCTTGAAGAGCGAGACAGTAGAAGAGCTTCGACATGCTCTGCAAGTATATGCTCCGCACATCTTCGTGTACTCAATTGATTTGAGGCCCTCATGTCTCATCGATCTCTACATCAAATTTGTTATCGAAGGGGATCTCCCCCCTGAGCGCACCCCTGTCCTTGGGTTTCACTATGCTGTCATAGACAAAGAAGCTAATTGAACTTGAACTATCATAGAATTGATTGTGAGTATCTCAAAACATCATGTCTTGAATTGGTTTTGTCAGTTACTCACTAGACTACAATTTTGGTTGTGACATATAGTGTCATATTCAGTCCTACATCAAGTTGATCTTCTCTTGGAAGGTCTCTGATTGTGTTTCTTCTGATTTGTGTATCATGTATCACTATCAATCCTTTAGTGTTGGCGCCTATTTTTAGTACGGCATGTTTTGTATGAGTTGTGGTTTTGGAGCGCTCCATTTCATTCATGAGTCAATGATCAATAGGTTGCACTCCGTTTGGAATTCTTATGCCGGATGTGTGTTCCTACTTCCCACATCCCAGCTCTGATAAGACATATATTCTTAACTATATCCAAAATATAATACTACAATAAGCACTTCGTCGCTACCAGTTCTCTCAATATCAAAGTCTACTCGTCACTTCCCCCACGTCTAATAATTTTTTTAAAAATGCCTCGAGGGAACAAAAAAGTTGCAGAGCGTCGTCGAAAAGTATGCACATGCAAAGCTTTCAATTGCGAATCTGGCGTTTACTTGGACGCACAAGGCTTGTCACAACAAGGTGTCGAACTCAGCCCAGAGGCTTATGAGGCTCATCAACAATCGGAATTACGCAACATCGCTCAAGCTGCAACATCAGATGCTTTTGATGCACATTCTTTCCAGGATATCAACCTTGGGTCATTGTCACAAGACAATCATCTGGTCGAGATTCTGCGTGAGTTGCGTGTAAGTCCAGCTTTGCAACCAAGCCCTTCTGGATCAGGAGAAGCTGCGGATGTGGCTCAAGTACCTGATCGGTCTTCAAGAGAACATCACGAGGATGTTATCCTGGAAAGCTCTTGCACGTGCCCCGCCATAGACACTGCGAGGGAATGTGGGATCGAATTTTACAATACCAGTGAGTTGCTAATTATAATGCTTCACCCAGCTTAGATGACTTTTGACTCATTTCGTTTTTAAATTTTCACAGCAAACTTTTTTACTTTTAATTTGAGACAAGTCAATCCTGTCTGTCTTCATGTGGCTTTGACCACTGCGATCATCAGTATATTCGAACACGCCTCGATGTTCACTGCTTCTTGGCTCTTGGATGCCCAACGCATCACAATTGAGCTCGCTCTGACTCATGGCCTTCTTCCAAACGTCTCACCAGGCCAACTTGAGCCCCTTCAAGTGAAAGTCTTGAATCAGATCCCTAGAACCGTCGACACTGTAATTGGGTGGCTCAAGATTGACCCGTGCCTACAATTTGTAAACTGTTGCAAGGGATGCTTCGCAATGTACCCATTAGCGTCCGCGCCTAAACGCTGCACCCATCGTGTTGCAGATCTCCCTGGAGCGCCTAGCATATCTGAAGATCCGGAAGGTGCATCAACACCGCCAATTCTAGAAGACGATTATTTGGAAAAGACTTGTGGAGAACTCTTGGTTCAATTCGCACGAGGCCGGGATAAGCCTGTTAGGAAGTATGCCTTCCAAAATCTTTCGGAGTGGATAGCTCGTCTACTTTGTCGGCCATTAGTTGAAGAGTGGCTTGATGAGAGTTTGGAACAATCTTCAAAGCCTTTTGATCCGCAAGATATGGTTTCTGACATACATCAATCAAAGCTCTGGAAAGCTTTTCGGGGACCAGATGGAAATCAGTTCACCTCTCAGACTGGAAATCTGACGTTCGGGATGTTTGTTGATGGGATAAACCCTTTTGGGAACAAACAAAGTGGCCGCCATTCGTCCATCACCTTTGTTGTCCTGGTCTGCCTCACTCTTCCGCCACGGGTTTGCTTTTGTAGAGAAAACATATTTCTCGTTGGTATTGCTCCAGGGCCACGTGAGCCATCTCTCGAACAGATGAATTGGATCTTGAGGCCTGTAGTCACACAGCTGAAAGAGCTGTGGAATCCAGGCCTTTCCCTTTCTCGAACACGGCTATATAAAAAAGGACGACACATAAGGGTCGCTCTACTACCTTTTATAGCAGATATTCCGGTGGTTCGGCGTTCTCTTGGCTTTCCTAGTGCAACTGCCACTCATTTTTGTTCATTTTGTCTACTCCAGAAAAAAGATATCAAAAACTTCAATCAAGCAGTGTGGCCTTTACGTACATGTGAGCAGCACCGACTGTGGGCATATCAAGCACGAGACGCCTCGACTCCTGAAGAGCGTTCCGAAATATTCAAAAGTCATGGTGTTCGTTATTCGGTTCTTCTAGAACTAGAATACTGGGATATCTCCAAGTATCACGTTGTCGATTCTATGCATAACTTATTGCTTGGCCTGCTTAATTGGCACTGCCGAAGATTCTGGTCGATGAAAGACGAGAAGAACGAAGAGGAAGAAGCCCCGGCTATCAGCACCAAGGAATTAATGAGCCTACTCGCCGAGCACTCTCAAACACAACATCGTCCAAAGCCCTCGCGCAAGGCACCCCCCGTGGAGGATAAGGACTCAGACCAAGAGAACATATTGGATGAGTCCTTCAATGATGACACTGCTTCGAGTGATCCCGAATTTAATCCCTTTGCTGACGCTGAGTGGAGTGGAAAATGGATGCCACCGCCCTCTGATGAGATCATCTTGGATAGTACAATGCTACACAAGATAAACCTTCTGCTTCCAAGAATTCGTATTCCAACATGGATCAAGCAAGCTATTCCGGTACTTGGTAAAGCTTCTTTTGGTAAACTGAAAGCTGATGAATGGCGAAACCTGTTCACCATCCAATTGCCACTCATCCTTATCCCTCTCTGGTCTGGGCGCGATCACATCAAAACATCACTCTTAAAAAACTTTTGTCATTTGGTATCCCTTGTCAATTTAGCTTTAAAAAGGGAGCTCAATATGGACATAATATCACGATATCGCCACCACATCCAACAGTACCTGGAAGGATCTATCGAGATGTTTCAGCATTGTCAACCTGCTCCGAACCATCACATGGCAATCCACTTAGCCGACTGTCTTGAAAACTTTGGGCCAGTTCGCTCTTGGTGGTCCTTCCCATATGAACGCTTGATGGGTAATATCATCAAGGGTACTCATAATAATCACCAGGGTTAGTCTATCTTCTCTTCTCATTTATCCAAATGTTATGATCAATGTTCATTTCGTATCTAAATATGCAACCTTTGAATACATCTGTAGGGGAATTGGAGATCACGTTTGTCAAAAACTTTTGTCGCGCGGGGAATCTCTCTGTACTCTTACAAGAGGACAAACTCCCAGAATCTCTTGAACCTTTCAATTCACGAGTACAAGCTTATTTCGAGCCCAAGAAGCCTTCTCAAAAGAAGGCTTCCAACTCCAAGCTTCAAGCATTGGACAATAAGTCTTTGACACTTCTCATTCAACGGTTGAACGAACGGGCGACCAAGCACTGTAAATGGGTGGCTCCCGATCTATGGGTTTCGTACACAACAGACGGCTCCGCTGGGTTTGCGGTGTGTCCTGCACGCGCTATGATTCACAATCATGTGTTGCATAAAGAAGTGACCTTTTCCACCGTCAAAGCTAATATGAATAACAGCATAATCGCATTCAAGTCACAATCAACCAGTATGATGCAATTTGCACGAATTTCCAGTATCTTCACCCACCGCAGAAGCCCACAACCAGAAGAACAAGTCATTGAAACGTGGCTTCGCGTTCAAATATTTCCATCTATCAAGGAAGGAGTTTACAATCCATTCACACATATCAGGGAACCTGATGTGCAGACACACTTACAGATGTGGTCAACAAATGCTGAAGAAGTCATTCGGTTGGATGAAGTGATTGCACACTGTTCGTGGTTGATGTATCAACCGGGGGAGCTTCATAAAGACCTCAAACTCGCTACAATCGCTTTAGTATGTATGGAACGCTAATAGCACATAAAGAATAACAAATTTTTATCTTGAAGCCTGCTTCTTGTTCCCATTATCTTCTTTAAAGCGAAAGTACAACTTGTATATGATCATTTAAAAAGAATCTACAATTGGAATCAGCCTGCTTCTTGTTCCCATTATCTTCTTTAGAGCAAAAGTACAACTTGTATATGATCATTTAAAGAGATCTACATTTGGAATAAGCCTGCTTCTTGTTCCCATGATCTTTCAAGCTTTCGAGCAAAAGTACAACTTATATGATAATTTAAAGAGAATCTACAATTGGAATTAGTTGAGATAGCACACTTTGGGGCTTCATTTCCAACTGACTGCGTTCCAGACGCGAAAGGGTCTGTAGCCACTCTTGTGAGTAGCAATCGACAGAAAGACCTATAGGTGCATTAGCATCACTTATGCGTGCATTTTGACATCGGATTCTGAGTCGAGACGGTCGGCCAGTAGGAGATGGTGTACTGCCTGTTGACCTTCTCCTTTTCGGTGTGCTAGCTTCGATTTTTGATTTGTACGAGTCCAAGCGTGTGAAAACATGTTGTAAGGCTGAACTACGCCACCTCAGTTTTCGGATATGAACAGCAGAAGAAACATGTGTGGCTATTTCATCCTGACAGTCCTCGTGATCCGTCTCATCATCGCTACAGCAATCTTGAACCATAACCGAAAGTGGCCATAAAGCTTGTTTTGAGAGCACAATCTTCTCCCGCGACTTTTTCAGCTGTTCTATGTGCGGAAAGAGTGTTTTTTCATTCAGTTTTACAAAGTTGAGATGTGACGGAGTCACAGCCTCTAACACCTTCAATGAAGCTCACATATCGTACTCGTGCGTTCCGCCTAACCGCATCAGCAGCTTTCTTTTTTCGTGCTTCATCCCATCTCTGTTCACGAAATCTGGAAGTGATTCAAGCCCGCTCGATCAAATGAGCAACAGAATCAGTCACAATGTGGACTTCCAAAGGTAAACTTTATACCACTTACCGTTTCATAAGAGATTGAACACGTGTTTCAAAAGCCTTTTTGATTGAAGAAATGTTTGGAGCATCAAGAGATATCCCGACATACTCACCACACTCCACCAATTTGATAAAAATCTTGAAGGCTAAATCCCACAGCCACTTGTTGTCTTTTGAAGTTGGCGCTTGACCGAAATCTGGTCGAAAGCTTGATACCCCTACAGCGAGCATCATCTGTTGCATGATAGAAATTTGCTGTGGTGTTGAATCTTTATGCCGTGGCCCGGAATAATCAGTTGAATTGAGATCGGGTGGTTCCATAGTTTCGTCTAGCACATCCAAATCGAAATTCACGAGTCCGATCTCCAAGTCAGACATCCAGGACTCTTTTTCATTGAGTGTGGCAGGCGCAGGGAGTGAGGGACTGCTTTCTTCTAGACCTAAAAGAGTATCTATATGAAAACAAACGGATAACTGCGTGACAGGCATGAATATTCCAGCAGCTATATTCAATCTTGATCAGTGTGAGATACAAATGTTCTTACAGAAATACGACCACCCCGTGTTTTCTTCTTTTTCGCCGAGACTTGCTCCTCATCTATGTTGTTCTGAGTCACTTGGTTCAATATCCTAACCTCTTCAGTCAATTTTTCAAGTCGCTGGTTAGTCTTGTTCAGAGCATCTCGTAGTTCATCTAGTCATTGAATGATTCAAAGGTGAGTCAATAAAACAAAACTACAATGTCATAGGCAATGATTTGAGAAGCAACTTACGAATCATCTCGAGCATACTTTCCTGACTCTGATCATCTCCTTGGTTTTGTTTCTCGGATTCAGACATTGATTTTGGACTCGCAGCCTTGTGTGGGTGTTTTTTTGCGCTTTTGCGTGATGAATTTGATTTACCAGTTCCTTGCTGCATTTGAAATCGACCCTTAGAAGAACCTTGGTAAGTAGGCTGAGCTGAATCATTGGTATCGCTATCCGCCTCCCCCGCCAGTAGATCGGAACCTTCTAAATCAGACTCTTCAGCATGAAAAGATGGATCCCAGTCATGATCATCTGGATCATCTTCCTCTCGCGACTTTCCTTTACCCTTGGAGGTAGCTGAGTTTTGGTGTGACGTTAATACGGTCGGAGGGGGTCGTGGGTAGGACAGGCGCCCGTGTTCCAGGCTGGGTAGAGGTATTTCTGCATCGGGCAAAAATTAGGAATGTGACAGAGTGGATAAGGTGAATAACGTTTTATACAACATTTACAAACTTCATCACTTACCTTCCGGAGCTTTGTGAACCGGCGATCCAATGGTAGCCCAGCCTTCTATTTGTAGAATCTCGTGATCTCTATTGCCAACATCTGAATCACCCCGCGTAATAGGAGGTATATTGTCACGATCGAGTGTCGAATCTTGCGTTTGTACATCGTCATTCATATTTGAAGGTTGCGTGTCAGGAGGTGAAGAAGGTAAAGGGAGACTTTTGGGATCGGAGGTTGAATCTGAAAAGTTTTTAATTGTCATAAGCTTGATCTATGACTTCATACTGACATAGCCAATTTACACACCTGCCGGAACAGCTATAGGCACACTTCTTTTACCTGACTTGGTGGTTTCATCAGCAATCGATTCGCCTATAATTTGAAACATGTAAGCCAAGCACAATACAGAGAAGTCTCAGCACTTACCGTCCAAAGGAGCGTGCCGTGATGTCCTAAATGTGAAGGAGGGTAAAACGGGGGGTAGAACAACTAACCAGCGAGTGAGTTGTATAGCTCCTGAACATGTATTTTGAGCCGAACAATTCACTTACTCAAGTCTTGGTAGGTTTTACATGTCTTGATCAGTTCCGCTCTTGGTAACCCATCAGCATCTAGCCCAACATCGCCAACCAGTTCCCGTAGCTGCTGATCAGTGTATTGATCATAATCCACGTCTTGTGGCCTTGGAGCATAGGTATGATCGATTTCGGAAGGTGAAATAGGAGGTCTCTTCCTGATGGGTCTGTGTGATTGCTTGACCGTCTTCTTCTTGCCAGGTTTCTTCAACGTTCTTGCTTTCTTCTTGATTATATGCTGATCCAGAAGCTTCAAGAGATTTCCGCGCGGCGTTTCCAAAGGGGTTTCCGAATTCACAACGTCCTGAACACTTCCACACGCCTCATCATCAACGACCTCTGTTGTCCAACAAAAGGTTATCAAATTTCAGCAAAGATTTTAGAGAAATAATTGATTATACACACATGTGACTTACTTTCTTCTTCAATTGGGATTGCTCGCTTCCTTGACTTTGTAATATCATTTCCAATATCTTTCAAAGCAGTGTTATAACTGCGTAGTACCCGACTTCTGAGATTTGCCACGGATCCCTCGGCCATTGGTCATACAATACATACAGTTGTATCAGTAACAAACGGACAGATGGGAAAGTGATGCGAAGATACTGCACAATTCTGGGCGAGGACTAGGGATGATTGATTGACAGTGATAAAGAGAAATCTGCACAGCGGATGGAAGAACTGAAAATCTGAACGAATGGAAAGTCTATCTGGTTATAACCAGCAGATAGATGAGAAAGGGGTGCAAAGATAATGCACAACTATGTGTGAAGAACGATATTTTAACAATCAAGGGAAATCGGGCCAGCCGGTTAAAGAAGTAAATGTCTAGATGGAACTTCCGATATTTGAGCTGAAGCAATAAAATATTGAGGCAAAAGGGGGCTATGTTATCAAGACCGATTTGTCTTATGTTGAGGTTTGGAGTGAGTTCACTCTACGGCTAGTCAACTTTATGATTATTTGGGGGACACCATGGACAAGATTTGTGAAGAGTGCATCAGCATGGCAACAACCTTGAATGTGAAGTAAACCCACAGGTGCTCACCAGGCCTGGATCCATTGACCAAAGAATCAATGCCTTTCATCACAGTCACCAAAGCTGGGAATAATGCGGCATTTTCTTAAGGACACAGGGTATCAATGGTTGTTAGTATACAAAATAAGATGCCGTTATTATTATTATATTGGCAGCCGTAGGTATTTCACGAATCACTACACCTTTTCTGAGTCGGTACAGAATGATCATGAAAAAAATCAGATTATTTGTATCATCTTTCCTACAATCGGGCTTGCTTTTTATGAAATTAATCTCACATGGGGAGCAAACAGTATCATGATGACAATCTGAGATGATGACTCCCCTTGATAGAGGGTAGTCTTGTTGGTTGTAGGTATCAATGGGGGACCGGTGTTTGTCATTAGCGCTCATGCATTAACTGATACAGAAAAGATCATCTAAGTACAAGAATCTTCGCAAGCTTTGGGAAGATGAAAGTGTTTGTCAAAGTCGATCAACTTGAGTAAGAAAATTCAATTGGAGGCGGGGATCATGTGATCTTTAACCCTACCAATCTTCAATATATAAAGCAAAGATGATTCGGCTTGATCCATGATACGTTTTCCAATTGCTACATCACGCTCCTCACAAGATGTCTAGTTATATCCATCCATTCCATACTCGCGTTTTTCTACCAAAGTATTTCTTCGACTTTATGTTTTGTGAGGGTGATATCAATTCCAAGCCTGATCCCCAACTTTTCCTAAGTGAAGCTTCAACCTTTCAAGTATTAGAAATAACCCGTTTGCTCTGCCCTTATATCAGATTCAGCGCGGAGGCAGAAGACGATAAATCATTTGTACACAAGCTATTTCTCCAGATGATAGCGCCTCATCTTTCTACTTTAATCATCCCAAAAGGCCTTGGACCCGATCAACACTACCTTCAAGCATTGATTGATGTTCCAGTTGTTGGATCACCAGACTGCGAGATCTTTATGTCCCCTGCAACCATTATCGACTCTGATTGCATTCGCCGGTTCAATTGCTTGATTCTCTGCTACCTTAAGAATGGCCAACATCGTCTTGCAGCAGACAACCTTACCGACTTTGTCAAGGTTCACAAGTATCTCAACGACAGTGAAATCTTGACCATTGCTTCTATTTATGAAGAAGCTCTAGATGGCCTTCACGAATCTGTTGGCGCCATTCAAAACTCACATTGCGAGATCGATGGGATTGGTTTTCAATCATCTGACTCTGAGATCTCACAGACCCACCGACAAGAACTTCAACTTTCTCTTGAAGCTGCAACCGCGAGACTGCAATCTCGTCAGAAGGCCTTCGATTCCATTGTTCAGGGTGTGGGATTCCTTCAAGCATTGTCAAAGTATCACGAGTAAGTCACAAACTTTGATATTACTATTCCAAATAAGTATGAGTTCTGTAAGTATTCTAACTTGTGATCTTCAACCCAGAAACTTGGCGTTAAAAAATAAACCCTCCCCTCCTGAATCGTCTTGAACGATTCCTTTCAAATATTCTGCGGTGTTGTGCACATCATTCTGGTAAGAGATGGATACTGTCAAGGTGCTTATCATAACATGAACTGATCAAATCCTTTTGTTCAAAATTCATTCCAAGTTGCAGGTATAATCTTCATACCACAACGTTTGAATACATGACTACATATCGAAATCTGACCAGTTACCGTTGTATCAACTACCTTCTCTAGTATGTAGAGTTGTTAGATCCGAATTTTTCTTGAACTGTGTGTTACGCGAAGAAACTAAGAGAACTAGCAGTTTACTCAAGGACCGGTATTGAAGATTAAACTAGTAGTATATATTTTATCATGAGTTCACTTTACAAGTAGTTTTGCAAACCTCTATTATTCAAGATCACAAATCAATTATTGTTCAAGACAAAGCTTTGTACCTGAAATATGTCCTGAAGGTTGCTATGACTTGTGGACCTTTATTCTATATATCTCCGTTGTATCTTGATCTTATACTCTTTTTCTTCATCGGAATTATTATTATCCTTCTCTTTTCTACACCGCTGTGGCAGAAAAACAACGTTGTAGCCTTGTAGAGCTCTGCTCTGAGTTCTCATCTTACAGGTTCTCCGTTCTGAGAACTGTAGCAAACTTGTTTGTTTTGACTACAACCCAGATCATCACAGAATATAAGTAAAATACACGCCCGATGTCATAAAGCTTGAGTGATCTTTCACGGGTGTGATTGTAGTGTCACCTCACGGGGTCGTGAATGCAGGTTTTTACTGAGCCTCACAACACTCAAAGCAGTCTCTGACACAAGTATACACGTGGAAGTGTACTGTTGTAGTTTGCTAAATTTGGATAATTCACTACATTCAGGAAACCAGAATATGTAGATGATACATAGTTTTCTATGTCAGTCAGAATTTTCTAAACCGTACGGAAAAGATGCACTTTGGTGTAGTGTTAGGGGAGTTCGTTGGTTTTGAAAGTATGTAGAAATATCAGAAAAAGTTGATCAAAAAGAAGTTGATCAGATCTCACCATTGTTGAATGATAATACTTCATCACATCTTTTTCGGTCTAATGTGATGGTTGCGGTCGGACTTGTGATTGGTTTAGGTGTGGGTGTGGTATATTGGAATATCTGCAGGTGGTAAGAACTATTGCAAAGAAAAAAAGAGATCAATTGATAAGTACATCATCTTATATAAAATCTATTATATGATTGTTCAGATAAAGAAATCATCATCATACATGATTGAGATCAACAGGAATCCCAAGTGTGACTAAGAAACAACGCCGGATCTGACTTCTTTTCCAATCAATTGGTACCCCAAGTCCGTTCTCATTCTTCATCAAATCATTCCAAGTCCTCAAAAATAAATCATATTGGTTCATCAAAATCAAAGGTATTGATGGATTCTTTTTGATTTGATGATCAGACATAATGTTTGGATCATCTGTTGTTCAAGGTGTTGAATCGATTCAATTCAAGGTGATGAATCGATTCAACTGGAAAACAAACCATCAATTGCTGGTGTGAGTGTTTGTTTCAAAGATTCAAAATTCTTCAGGTCTGGTAATTTGAATGGTAAGATGGTCAATTTCATTTTGAACAAACCTTGTCCAACAGTTCATGATCCGTGCACGTCTAGTCTACTTCAAACTGAGGGAGCCAAACCATGGACAGACCAGTTGGGTAGATTTTCGAGTACGGTTTTGATAGAAGGAGCGTTTTGAGCTTTGGTGAGATCATGTCAAGGAAACGTTCTCAATCAAGAGCGAAGTGGCGAGTGATATGGATTGGTCTAAAGGATGAAGTTCAGGTTGGTTTTGTGGATTGATGGTAAGTGATGACATAGATGAAGTTGCAGATGTCAATTGAGTTTTTTCTGACAATGTATCGTCATTAAGAGCCAGAGTGATAAGTGACACACTTTGTTTTGTTGACAAAGGAGAATCAGATGGCTCAGCTTGAGTGTTGAGAAAAGATGTCAGGGTTTGACCTTTAGCAAGCAGGACAAGTCGACTCAAATCATGCTCTTGAAAGCTGGTCCTTTTACCGAGGATGTCTGTAAGATCATCTAGAGTGAATCAAGCTTAAAGTCAAAATTTGCAAACAGAAGGATCAAGTAGAGATAAGAAGTCACTTACACACCAAACCTGCTTCTTCCGAAGCATGAAGGAATAATTGATTTGAAAATGTATCATTTCTGATCAAATGTTCAGCTAATCCTCCTTCCATAGTTAACATTGGAAGTAGATCTTGAGCATTATGGGTCTGTGGATAATTTGTTTTGAAATCGATTGAAGATTCTTCAAGTCTTTTAAACAATTCATCCGTGAATGGGATTTGAGATTCAATTAGTTTGTGGTGTAAGATACTGGCTCTTGAATTCCACTATGCTAATATCCTAAGTGTTTTTGAATGTTCAATGATTGATAAAGTTTTAAGTATGTGATTTGATCGCCCAAGAAAGAAGAGTGGCCAATGTAGTTAGATGATAAGCAGGTTCACCAGCTAAGAATAATTGATCCAAACTAATCTGATTTAAATCCGTTTTATTTGTTTCTTCATCAAATGTTTTTAAAGGTTCTAAATCAAAAATTGGTCCTGTAAAATTCACTTGAACAAAAATCAAAAGTAATGTAGCAACAACCGTCAACCTCAAAATGATTTCCTACTCTAGATCTTTGTACGTGGATTCCTGTTGGGTAGTATTGACTTTTCCAGCCGGAGTGATGATAAGCAAAATAAAGATTGGATGTGGATTTGTGACACTTACTTCTTTTATAGATATTTTGTAGGAAAGAGCATGAAGAGAGAAAACAACAAGTGTTTTGACTATTGTAGTGGGTCGGGATGTGGAATATATCATATTCCTGCGAAGTAGTGAGACAGATCCCAGGAGACTTAGGAAATGATTGAAAGTGGATGGATAAGGGTAGGGTGATGGGGCA